TTGTACACCGCCGTGAGTCGCCCTAGGGCTGAGAACGGCGGTCAACAAATGCAGTAAATAAATAAATAAAACATGATTTTGGGTGCTTAATTTGTAAAATCATAATCTAATCTGATGTTTAATAGGCTTTTCCTTAATCCCTCCTTATTATCCAACATTTTTGCTTATCTAATGTTCTGCTGGCCCGATTATGTTGGATAAGTGAGACTCTACTGTAATAAGATTCTGAAAAAACCACAGGTTTCTCTGGTGCTGATTGAATAGGATCTGGTGGGCTGCTCAAGCTCAAAAACCAACAACAAAATGTTAGTGTAGCAAAGGAGGACAACCGCCCCCCCCCAAAAAAAACCCCCACACATTGCAGTAAAGCTTCGAAAGCTTGCATGATGTGTTTTGTGCATTTTGGTTGGCCAATAAAAGCATTTCTCTTTTAGTATTTTGCACAAATATAGTATTATGCACAAATATAGTATCAGAAAACTGTTGAAAATAAGGATCATCATCATGCAGTTTGTTTAAACAAAACAGAAAAAGACAGATGGATTGATTCCATGAAGGAAGCCATAGCCCCAAGTTTACAGGAACTAAGCAGATCAGTGCTGTAAGTTGAAGTTGAATTGACAGCAAGTCACAACAAAAAAGAATGCAAGTCTTTTTTGGATGTTCGAGCGGGCATTCGGTTAATCAGTGCAATGAATGTGATGATTACAGGAATGGAAATATCGACGACGATTTGGATCACGACTTTAGTTATGAGATGCATTGTGTTGTTTATTGTTGTGTCAATATTGTATATTATGCTCTTATGGTTTTAAATTGTATATCGTTGATTGATTTTTATCCATGTTGCAAACCGCGTTGAGTCGCCTGTTGGGCTGAGAAACTGCGGTATACAAGTAAAGTAAATAAATAAATAAGTCACTGATAATGTTGTAGCACAATTTCACGGCAATAAATTCAATTTAAAAATAGAACAGATGAAGAGTACGTAAGTATTGCTGAACCTTTTAATCTAAGACATTTTGCCCAGTGACTTTTAAAATGAGAGATAAAAAGTAAGAGAGGGGGATAAATAACACTGAATGTACACACTCTCTCTCCAAGCATTGGATTGCCAAAGTTTATGGCACTTTAAGCTGAGTAAAAGGGAAAAAAGAATGGCTTCACCCCCAAAGGCCAGGCTGACAGCTTTAGATCTAAAAACAAAAGTCGAACAGAGAGAATGAAAAACGAAGAGATGAAATTAATTCCTGCAGATATGCTAGTGAGAAAGATATACTACCCGTTACGTTTGCAATCTTTACCTGATGAAGAAGCTGGGAAGCTTCAAAAGTAACCTGATATATTTTGTGTCTGTTGACTGATAAAATGAAAGCATGCAGAATTTCAGAAATACCCAGGGATCCCAGCAACAATCTTTTTAGATACTCCCATCAACTGTTAGTTCATCTCTTCATCTTTCCTTTGCACCTCTCATTCTCTGCTTCCTCTGGGGGAAAAAGTGTTAATCCATTCTATTGGGAAACACGCAGTTTGACGACATTGAGGCCTTCTTGGCTCCTGCTGCAGCGCTGGTAACCAGATCTGTTGTTTCTTTGCTGAGAGACACCTCTCCTGTTGGCAAGACACAGGTTAAAAACCTGCCACACTTCATTGGTCATTTGCCATCCAGCCAAGTATTCCTGAACAGGGTTGCTGTGAGTTTTCCGGGCTGTATGGCCATGTTTCAGAAGCATTCGCTCCCAACATTTCACCCACATCTATGGCAGGCATACTCAGAGGTTGAGGGATCTTCTGGAACATGGCCATACAGCACAGAAAACTCACAGCAACCCAGTGATTCCAGCCATGAAAGCATTCGGCAATTCTCCTGAATGCTTGTGTGCCTGGTATAGGGCTCCCTCTCACTTCCTGCTCCCTTCCCAACACTAAAATATCATGCCTAAGCATGATCAGGCCACCATTTTGACCCCCCTTCATTGGATACTTCCTTTTTTAAAGGATTTGGGCTTTTTCTTGTTTTAAATTTTTAAGCCCAAGATCAATTCAACCCTCACTATTTTTCAGTCCCAATTTTTCATTATTGCCTAGCTTGGGTATTTATGAGGAACCTTCAGTCCTTGAGTTTTTTTGCTCCCCAATTTGGCCTAATCCAGGGATCCTCAAACTTTTTAAACAGAGGGCCAGGCCACAGTCCCTCAAACTGTTGGAGGGCCAAATTATAATTTGAAAAAAAAAACATGATTGAATTCCTATGCACACTGCACATATTTTATTTGTAGTGCAAAAAATTAAAAAAACAATACAATAATTAAAATGAAGAAAATTTTTAACAAATATAAATTTATTAGTATTTCAATGGGAAGTGTGGGCCTGCTTTTAGCTGATGAGATTGTGTTGTTGTTGTTGTTGTTGTTGTTGTTGTGTACTTTCAAGTAATTTCAGACTTAGGTTGACCCCAAGTGAGAGCCGAGTAAATGACCTTGGAGGGCCGTATGTGGCCCTCAGGCCTTAGTTTGAGGACCCTTGGCCTAATCCTTTTGACCTTGTTGCTCCCTGTTCCTGGAATCATATTCCTAAAAGTTGTTAGTTCCATTACTATGCTTAAATCTCAGTTTTAAAACTTATTTGCAGGGTGGTTGTTTTCCAATGCCTTTGGAAGTCAGGTTGAATTCTACCCCCACAATTTTGTGCATACAATGTATGTATATATGAACATTTTTACCCTTATTGTAAAGGCACCAGATCCCATCTGATCTTGGAAGCTCAGCAGCAAGTTCAGCTTTGATAAGTCCTTGGGTGGGAGACCACCAACTAAATTCAGGAGCTGAAGGGTCTATTTTAGAGGAAGGAACTGGTATATTAACCACCTCCAAGTATTCCTTCCCAAAGAAAACCCTAATAAATTAATAGGATCATTATAATCTAAAGTTGACCAAAAACTGATTTGTAACCCTTTTGGTATTAGTGTTGGAGAGTGGTCCCTGGTCAAAGTGGTCCCTGACCAAGTGGTTCCTGATCAAAACAAGGTCGGAAACCACTGATCTAGGCATTCTTTTTAAAAACTGAAACATATATTATTTTGAAGTTGCATCATAACACTTGGCATGTTCATGTTTATGATGTGGTATACACATCTTTATGATGTGGTATGCACATCTGTGGAAGGGAGTGGATAATGGAAGATAAAGCACATTAGTCTTTATATGTATACATATATAGTAAGTTTAATTTTTAACATCTGATATTATTCATGGACACTTTTTACTTTCTAAGAACTGCTCCGATGCCAGCAGGAGCCTCCCGCAGGGAACTGAACCCAGGGCTGACTCCCTGGGACAAGGAGAAGGGGTCTTGGTTGGTTTGAAAGCATAAAAACAAAATAGCCATGAGATCTGTAAGTTAAAAAGCAACAATTTGAAAACCAGAGTTGGAAAAGATCGTAAACATGGAACAAAAAAAAATGTGATGCCTAAATGGGGGCTTTACAGAACTCTTCATCAGTCGAGAATAGAAAGGAGGGATCGGAAGAGAGTGGAAACTGTCCAGCATCTTGGGGCCAGTTTTCTGTCCTTCCTTCCTTCTTTCCTTCCCCTTCCTTTCTTCCTTCTTCTTCCTCTCCTTCCTTCCTTCTTTCCTTCCTTCTTTCCTCTTCTTTCCTTCTTCTTTCTTTCCTTCCTTCCCCTTCCTCCCTTCTCCTTCCTTCCTTCCTTTCTTCCTTCTCCTTCTTTCCTTATTTCCCCTTCTTTCTTTCCTTCCTTCCTTCCTTCCTTTTCCTTCTTTCCTTCCTTCCCCTTCTTCCTCTCTTCATTCCTCTTTCTCCTTCTTTCTTCTCTTTCTTTCTTTCCCTCCCTCCCTCCCTTTCCCTCCCTCCCTTCCCTCCCTTTCCTTCCTTCCTCCCCCTTTCTTCTTCCTTCCTTCCTTCCTTCCTTCCTTCCTTCCTTCCTTCCTTCCTTCTTCCTCCTTCCCTTCCTTCCTTCCTTTCTTCTTCCTTTCCTTCCCTTCCTTCCTTCCTTCCCCCTTCTTCCCCCCCTCCCTCCTCCTTCTCCCTCCCTCCTTCCTTCCTTCCTTCCTTCCTTCCTTCCTTCCTTCCTTCCTCTAGTACTCACGCGAGGCAACGGGGAATTTGGGGGTCGGAAGGAGACGCACTCTAGGAAAGGCGGGGGGAGCAACGCGCTCTCATTGGACGCGCGCGCTCCCAGAGGCCCGCGGGGGCGCGCGCGCGTATCCTCCCCCTCCTCTCCCCTCCCTTCCCTTCCTCCTCCTCTTCCTCTTCCTCCTCCTCCTCCTCCTCCTCCCCCTCCTCCTCCTCTTTCTGGGTCCCTCCCCAGCCTCCTGGCTCCCGCGCCCAGCCTCGCTCGCCTTTGCCCTCTTGGCCCGGACTCCTCTTGGCCGCCGGAGAAAGCGCTGCCGTGCCGCTCTCCTTCTGGGCCGCCCGGAGCACCACTGAAGGCGGGGGACGCCTCCCCGCCGACCTTCTCCTGCTCGGGCTGCATCGCAAGCCGCAGCCGGGATGGGCTGAGCGGGGAAAGCAGGGCGGCGGAGGAGGAGGAGGAGAGGGACGAGAGAAGGAGAGAAGGCTGGCTGCCCGGCGGCGGGTGAGTGCCAGGGCGAAGAGACGGGAGGGCGGTGTCGGCGGTGGTGCAATGCAACACTTCGCGGCTCCCGGCGCCTGCAGGGCTCGGCGGACAGGCTGAGGAAGGGCAGCCAGAGACGCAGGAGCGGCAGGAAGGGACTCCTTGGGACCCGGGAAGGCTGGAGGCAGCGCCTTTGCAGCAGCAGCAGCAGCAGCAGCAGGTGGACCTCGCATCCGCAGCGCCGGGCATGAGGCTCCTGGCCTTCCGACCGGGAGGAATGTGACCTTCCCTCCCTCTCTCCTGCCCTGCCCTCCCCGACTGACCATGTGGCTGCGGGATGCCCGCTCGGCCCCCCGTTGGCGTGGCCCCCCGGTGGCGGCGTGGCTGGCGCTGGGCCTGGGCCTGTCCCTGCCGGGCGGAGGGGTGGTGTCGCTGGGCTGCCCCAAGGAGTGCGTCTGCGCCAGCAACATCCTGAGCTGCTCCAAGGCCGGCCTGAAGGCCTTCCCGCCCCACCTGCCGCCCTACGTGTCCGTGCTGGACTTCAGCCACAACGAGCTGGGCCGCCTGAGGGCCGAGTGGACGCCCTCGCCGCTGCACCTGCTCCACTCGCTGCTCCTCAGCCACAACGGCCTGTCCTTCATCTCCACCGAGGCCTTCTGCAACGTGCCCCGCCTCAAGTACTTGGACCTCTCCTCCAACGCTATCAGCTCGCTGGGAGAGAACCTCTTCAGCAAGTTGGAAGAGCTGGAGGTGCTGCTCCTCTACGCCAACCGCATCACCAAGATCGACCGCACCGCCTTCGAGGAGATGGGCAGCCTGCGGAGGCTGTACCTGAGCCATAACAAGATCTCCCGCTTCCCGCTGGAGCTGGTGAAAAAGGGGGATGCCCAGCTGCCCGAGCTTGCCTTGCTGGACCTGTCTTCCAACGAGATCAAGCACCTGTCGGTGAAGGAGGTCAACCGGCTCCCAGCCTGGGTGAAGAACGGCCTCTACGTCCACGGCAACCCCCTGGCCTGCCACTGCGAGCTCTACAACCTCTTCACCCACTGGAGGAAGCGGCAGCTCAGCTCCGCTGTGGACTTTGAGGAGGAGCTCAAGTGCTTCCACAATGGGGAAGCCGTCCAGATCTCCAGCCTCAGTGACCCGAGGCTGATGAACTGCAGCGAATTCAAAGAACAGGCCCTGGAGGTCCACCGTGGGGAAGAAGTTGTGATCAACTGCGACACCCGGCAACGAGGGGTGGCCGTCAGGGAGTGGATGACACCCAAGTTAGAGCGCGTTCCCCAGGAGGGGGAAAACAGCTCCATTAGTGTGCTGGCCAATGGGAGCCTTCAGATCAAAAACATCAGTGTGGACGATATGGGGCCCTACACCTGTTATGCAGTGAGCCAGGTGTTCAACGAGACCCTCTGCGTGCATGTCACTGTCCACAACTACTCCTTGCATGGGATCCCCGACACACTCAACACGGCCTACACTACCCTCGTGGGCTGTATCCTGAGTGTCATTCTGGTGCTCATCTACCTTTACCTGACTCCGTGCCGATGCTGGTGCCGCAACAGCGAGAAGCAGGCTGAGCAACAAGAGGACAGCATCAATTCCTCTGTCCTCAGCACCACTCCTAACCACAACGCTGAAGGGACCGGAGGCAAGGAAGGGTTAAATCGGCACACAGGCAACGAGCAAGGCCAGAATGGCAAATGCAAGCCCAACAGCTCCCCCCAACAGGGCATGAAAGGGGTCTCAAAGGGAGAGAGGAAACTGTCGGATCCAGACTCTGTCAGCTCGGTCTTCTCAGATACTCCCATTGTGGGAGGCTCACAAAATGAAGGCGGGAGAGGAGGCAGTAGAGACAAGGGAAAGGCTGAGTTGGTGGGGCTGCTGTGATGAGTAGGACAGTGGAGCGAAAAAGAGTGGGACTAGACCCACGTCCTTCAGGCATCAGAGTCATACTTGGTCCACTCCTCCATGATACCATAATAGTCTTAACTGCTTTAGCCTGCTGCTGTCAAACCCAGTCTTGAAAACCTGACATCCCAACTTGTTCTTGAAGTACAGACATTATGGAGCTCTCTTTTTTGCAGGGGTGGAGTGGGGGGGGGGGACGGGACTAAATGATTGTTTAGTTCTCCTGTGCTGGAAATTTGCAGATCTTCCACCTAGAGAAGCAGAGCACAGGGTCAACCAGCCAGTGCATTTACTGGGTTCTCTCTATCAGGAAACTTCCCCCTCAAGCCTTGCGTAGCAGAAGTGGTTGCGTCCTGTCTTGTCTTTAAAACCAATGATGTTAGTGTGGCATATGCTTTTGTAGGTGGCAGTCTGCTTCATTGGGTGCATGAAGTAGGCCTGAAACCACGCACATTAAATGAAGTTCATCGCCGTAGTAGCTCTAGCCACAGCAGTAATCCCAACCAGCCATAGCACTGTGGGGAAAATATGTTCCTCTTTTAACTACTTAAGGATTTTTTTAAAAAAAACAAACAAACATGCTGCATATTTTTGGGGATGGAAAATGAAGGTTTCCACCATACAAGGCTTCTCAGGATACAGTTCAAAGCATTTTCTTCCAGGCAGCCCGACCTGTTTTGGAAACCTAAATCATCCTTGATGATAGTGGTGGAGAAGATCGAAATCTACCAGGGCAAAGGGTAGTCCCTTTTCCATAGAAAGCTTTGTAAAAGGGAGTTCAACTCAGAGATTTTAAACTTCACAGCATCAAAAAAGAGAGGATATAATATGTTGGGGGTTCTTGGAATGCAATTTTCCTGCTTAGACTGGAAAATCCTGGTTGGACTGGATGGTCCGCGAGATCTCTTCCAGCTCTATGATTCCCCACTTTGCTTGAATGAAAACTGTAGCATGGCATGGCCAAATGCAGCTGTTTTAACTACTCAGCTCTTTGCTTGGCAGGCTTATGATAAAATTTCCCATTATCCGTGACATATGTTGAGGGCAGAGCCAGGGTTGCAGCCCAGCAATCCATCCTTTCAGAACTAGAGATAAGACATCCAGAATCAGGGCAGCAGCCCCATCTTCCCTGATAAAGTTCTCTATAGGCCTAACTGTTTCAGGAGACCAAGTGTTCCACAGCCTTGAGCTCTTCTGGTGCGGATGGGCAGCAAGAACAGTTCAGGACTGATTGCGACTACAATGGAACTCTATCCCTCATTTCAGCAACAAGGCATAGGCAGCATTTCTGGCAGAAGAGACACTTTCTGGGATTATTTGTGCTCCCTTCAAGCCTCACTTAAGACCCATTCCAGTGTGTTTGGCTCTTTTTCCAGTATTGTTTTTTGTTTTGCATTCATTCCTTCTTTGGCTTATCTCTCAGTCCTTCTTAGAGAATGGGATTTAGAAGAGAGGGGAAAGAAACCAAGGACTAGTTTTCGGGACACCCTGTTGGCTTGTCTCCTTTTCCTCTAATTCTGTGAGAGTCAAAGCCAAGCCATGTACTGATTTGCACCTGCTGCTTTCTTTGTGGGACATTTGCAGCACAAACCCATCTGAGCTGTTTTCAAGCAAGTGCAGGAGAAAGATGTTGCACTTATTTTCCCCATATTGATTTTTCAAGTCCCAAGAGAAGGCAGGATTCCATCGGCTTGCCAACTCAGAATGGTTCATTCAATACGGGTGGCCTTTGAAACAATGGTGCCACTCAAAAGTTGTGCTATTTGCAAAGATTTCAGTTTTATCTCAATTCTGGCTCTGTTGTTGATTCAAATTAAGATTATCTTATGCCTGCAGAGAAGAATGGTCAGTAGAAGCAGGATGTGTCAGGGTAGGTAGATAAATGACACAATAAGCCATAGAATGTATTGCACAAAGCTGCGAATGGGTCCACACCATTCTTGATCCTAAAGAGCCAGAGCTCTATGCTATATAGCCATAGGAACCTTGCTTTACAGCCCTAAGGCTCTCTGTTGTCTCTCCACTATAGGGAAACCCTCAAGAACTGTGCAGAGCCCAAAGTGGAATACTACGCTGCCTCTTCAGCTGAATCAGCTAGCTTAGGGACTTTGCCACTGTCTCGAGTGTATTTTGTCATTGTCCCTAGTACACTGTTGGGAAGAAGTCCTCTCAAAGAAGCATGCAGTCAAAGACAAAGATGCCTGAAAGCCACATGAGGGGGAGAAGGGAAAATTCAATGCTTTATTTCTATTTGTTTAAGAAATGAAAAGAATGTATTTATTTCCTTATTTATTTATTTGTTACACTGCACATGATGAAAGCAGGGAGAATTTAGCAATAATGGACTGGAATGACTGACTGATTCTTGTATGCCTGTAGTTGAATACAAAACCATGAGAGTTGCCGTGTCCCAAACACTCCCTCCCTTCTAAATCTTGCAGCAAACCTAGTTTCTAAAATCCCCGGACCCTAGGAGCAAAATCAGAGCACTACTAAAGAATGCACACATCTCAGATTCCCTTATGCATTTTTAAAAAACAAATGTGGAAATAGGTCACTCGGAGTTGTTGACGTAGTAAAGCAAAACAAAACTCAGCAATCTTGCACTATAACAAGTTATATTAGGGCCTCCCTGGTGGCACAGCGGATTAAACTGCTGAGCTGCTGAACTTGCTGACTGAAAGGTTGGCGGTTCAAACCTGGGAAGTGGGGTGAGCTCCCACTATTAGCCCCAGCTTCTGCCAAATGTGAGTAGATCAATAGGTACTGTTCCGGCAGGAAGGTAAGACCGCTCTGTGCAGTCATTCTGGCTACATGGCCTTGGAGGCATCTATGGACAATGCTAGCTCTTCGGCTTAGAAATGGAGATGAGCACTACCCCCCAGATTTAGACACAACTAGACTCTCATTACCTTTATCTTTACATATTCATTCATGCTAATAACTGTAACCAACTGTTTTTAGACTGTTACATTTTTTCCAGATGTGGCAAAAAATAGGAGAATGGGGCAACACTCTTACCTACTTGTTGGTGCCATTGCTGTTTGAACCCTTTTTTGTTTAGCAGGACAGAGCCATATTGCTGCATATCATAAAGATTGTGGTCCATCGCAGTAAGTCCAGGTAAGGGATTGCTCTCTTCCAACCCCCCGACTTTCAAATAGGATATTGTGGGAGAAAGGTTTGTAGTCTAAAGGTGCAGACATCCATCACAGTATAGTTGAAGAGAATCTGATTCATAACACAGCATAGTTCTACCTTTGCAGAGTAACCCCAGTATCAGATGCATCAGTCTAAATTTTCTTATATCCACATGTATTTGGTGCAGTTAAGGGTCAGATAAATGAGGTAGGTTAGACCATTTAGCCATCTGGCCAGTTGTTATTTACTTTGATTGACATTATCTATGTTCACACCCATAGATCTTTCCTAGTATCCAAGAACCTTAATTTGTGATATTGAAGATACTTGCAAGCATATGTTCCCAAATATCACTCAACCCTTGATTCTGGTGTGACAGAACTGTGTGAACATAATGCTAATGAGTCATAGTGAGGGTGTAAAGGGCCTTTAGCTGTCTCAAGTATGCACATGTGTGCAAGTATGAATTAGTGTGTGGGTGTACACACTTTATGCAGCCTCTGATGTTATGCTAGAAAAGCCTAATGTTTAGACTGTGCTAGTGGCAATACTAACATTTATAGGGGGTACAAAAGTACATGACAGGTAAGAGTATCTCTAGATTAATAATCAGATTTAACAAATTCTCAATCTGTTTTGATTTTAATTTTTAATTGGGGAGTGACATCGCATATCCAAGAAGTAGATATGCCTCTAGTTGTTATGGCCTAAAACCCCATTCAGTTTCACTCAGCATGGCTAGCAGAAAGTCTGTGAGAGTTGCAGTTTTGGTCAACCTAGGCTCTCTACTCTGGTGTAACCTTGAAGACACTACATAAATCTTACTTGCTATGAGCATATGGTCTCCCAGTGACTTGTTCATCAATCTGCTGAAGCTGAATGCTTTTTGAAACAGGGCAAGGGCACAAGACTGGTTTCGTTCAACATCATCTCCCTGCTGAAGCTGTTCCTCCTCCTGAAAATACTTATGCCAATGGGAGACAGGGAATGTTTAGTTTTGTCTATGACAAGTATATATATCTAAGCAGCTTCTGTTGGTCCCTTAACAGGGGAACAACCTTGAAAGCTATCATTAATTGTGTTGATTATAGTGAAATGTGCAGGAGATGACCTTGCAGTCCCAGGATAATATTGGACACAGGCTTTGCTCCAGGAGCCAACAATGTTGGATGTTTGCAGGGGCTCACCAGGCTGACTCCCAGAGCTCCCTGCTCCTCTTTGGGCATCTCTTGCCTTTCCATCCCTGATTGCATGGTCATAGTGAAGATGAGCAGCACTTTTCCCTTTGATGTTATTTTATGGGTTGTGTCTCAAGGCAAAGTGAATGAGATCATCGGCAAGGAGGAGGGTCCACTGACAGGATTTTGCCCAAAGCTTGGAGACACCACTCTTGCAGAATGGGTCCAGTACTTTCCTCCACTAGAAACAAAGGAAACATCACCCAGTTTCACTGGTGGAAGTAAGAAAACACAACAAAGGGGGCAAAAAGTAGGTCAGGAGTCTGGTGTTTGTAATGAAGCCATTACTAAGGTCCCTTCTACACTGTCATATAATCCAAATTATCCAAGCAGATGATCTACATTATCTGCTTTGAAGTGGATTATATGAGTGTACACTGCTATATAATTCAGTTTAAAGCAGATATTCTGGACTTTATATGGCAGTGTAGAAGGGGCCTAAGCATGGTTGAAGGCTCAGTCTGCAGAGCTCAACACACCTTCCTATCTGTCCATCTACTTAATCTGGTTTAGTGTACTTCTAACCCCAAGATGATCTTTACCAGTGCCTCTACCCCTACTACTCTAAAGCTCAGTTCACCCAGTACTCTTTCAGCTATTTACCAAGATCCTCATATTCAGCAAAATTACTTTTGAGCTTCCTGTTTGCTAGCTGCTAATGGGGAAATGGTTCTGGATCAAGGCTTTACGCTAGAAGAGCCCCTGTTCTGTTGCCTGATCACTCATCTCTCCCTCTGTTCTTCCTGTTCAAAGGGATGAACTGCGGAAAGAAAGGAGCTCTGTCCCATAGATAATTATGCCTCATCAATAATTAGCAAGGCAATCTTTTTATTCCGTCAAAACTCACAGTCAGAAAAGAAGCCACCCAGATGGGTTACCTCTTGCAAACCTAAAGGAAACATCCACCTGCTCTCTGTGTGGTGTCAGAGCAAGTGAACTACTCACCCCTCAGCAAAGGTCTTCTCTGTGCTTACTGTTTGCATGAGCAGGATCACTGCTGAGAATCCCAACGTGCTTTGACCACATTTTTAAATTGCCAGGAGAGAGCTCTTGTTTTCTCCCTGCATTTTCACCCACAGAAACATATATATAATGGAGATGAGAATAAGTATTACAGCTAGAAATATACCTGTTGTGATCAAGAATAGATCATAGATTGGTATTTGTTTTTTGTGTAACCACTACTACTGCTCAATGTGAATTGAAACGATCCTTAGATTCCACTACATAGTTTTGAGATGAGATTGGGAATGAGCTGCCCACAGATCCACAACATGCTGCAGTCAAAGGAATAAATAGTCTGTGTCCACTTAGTGTAACCTTCTAGCCTGTTCATGAATGATTACCAGAGCTAAGTGCTTCTATAAGGCTCATTAACACTAGGTCATTTTAAAAGGCTCAGATAGTTCAATCAAGATATGTAAGCTAGCGCTATAGGTTTTTCATCAGTTGTATCCTATCCGCTCAGCTGGCAACATTCTGCACGTCGAGCCTCTTTAACAGGGGATTAAATTGAAGCTACACAGATGAGCACTCCATACCCTCCTTGGTCAAACGTACACCTGGCCTGCATGAGTCGGGCTGCCCTGAATCTGTCTGCCTGCTGATGAGGTCAAATGCGGAGCGTCATCTCAGTGGAGAGAAATTAGACAGCTCACAGCTCCACTCTATTCACATTTAGAAAGGTCCCGATGAATGTGCTTCCCATTCCTGATGCTTTAGTCAATGCCTGTGCATGAGAAATATGCAATGCAGCTTGCAAGCTTGGCTTAGGGAAGGAAATAAAGAGAGAGCCTGATCTTCAGGCAGAATTTGGAACCAGATGGTTCCTTAGCAGATTATTGGAAATCCCCCAAAAAACTCCAGGAAGGACACAGATTAGGTTTGTGTGTATGTATTTATGGATGCAAGTGAAAGACAGGCATACTGCCCTGTGAAGCCATGCAACAAATCCAAGATAACTCTTGTAGCTCTGAACAAAAAAAAAATGAGATGCTTATAATCCAGCATGGCCCCCATCTCCCATTCCCCATTATGTGGTTTGCAGGTCAAGCAAAATACAACTCGAACCTACAGAGGAAACATACATGCTTACGTATTTCAGGCAGAGACGATCAATCCCAGAGAGTATCTGGGCTGTATTTCTCTGTCAGATAGTCTGTACTCTCCGACATAGACACAGGTGAAAAATAAAACATGGTTTATGAATATGCATTTTCAGGATCTGTTTGCTTCTATTTTTTTCTCCCTCAGGATGGTTCATGATGGATACAGGCCTTGGTTTGTAGCATTTCATTAGAGGCAAGTAAATGTAGCCAAAGTGACTGTTTCAGGATAAATTGTTTGATAATTAGAATATACCACTGCAAAAAGAAAAAGACAAACAAACTTGCATTGTTGATTAGATCTCATTTTGACCTCCCCAATGAATGGTCAAACAGCCAAGCACAAAAGGGAGCTGAACAGAGCAGGATAACCACCTGTACAACCTGACATTGCACCTGGATGGGCAACCTGAGGCCCCCGAGAAGTTGTAGGACTTTCAGGCAGATTCTATCCAACAAGGTAACAGTGAAGGAAGATGAAGTTTGTGGCTCAGCAATATTTGGAGGATTACTTCTGTTCTAAATGCTTTGTAGCCTTGAGACAAATGCAGTTGTTGTAGCTCCTGTTATCTTGGTCCATCCTCCTGTTCAGCTAGCCAACCTACTTGCCATGGAACAAAGCTAAAATCTGCATTTTCCTCCTGGGTGTTCATTTGGGATCCTTTCTGCATAGCAGCATTGCATTTTATTTGTAGGGTCCAAATTTTATGGTAAATGTTTTGTCACAAATGCTTCACAGAAGTTTCTTCTGGCAATGTGGACCATCACAAACACCCCAAGAGAGTTGTGAAACATT